TACGCTTCTTTTAAAAACCTATGTGCATCAATTTTTTTTTTTTTTTTTTTACCCTTTGCCTTTTTTGGGGTTTTCTCCGAAGTCTTTGTAAAGAAGGTTTCAATGTAATTATTGTTGTTAGAACAATACCACATTCAAAAACGTTTCTTTTTTTTTCTCTCTCTCTCTCTCTTTTATTTTTAACTTTTTTTATTAAAAAAAAAGTCAACGCTGGTGGTCGTTTAATTTATTAGCTATGATCTCGTAGAAGAGTGTTAGAGGTTTAAAAAAACAGCTACGGAAACAATTTAATGACATTTTTTTCATTAATTTATACTTTTCCATTATGAGTGTAAAAGAATTTTTTTTTGTTTCGTATTTAACCCTTTTTTTTATTCCAAATGCTCTCTGAACTTTTTATTTCTGTTAATAGTTGTGAAAAAAAAAAAACAGAAATTAAGCATTTTGCCTTTTATAAAAATCTGGTTGGTACAAAGAAAAAGTAGAATTTTTTTTTTAGGAAAGAAAAAAATCTTATTTCACGGAAGAGTAGTCTTTTTATGTTCTTTTTCTTTGAGAAAAATTTGCATTTCAATTTTTAATTTCTTTTCCCTACAATGACTTCTGTAAGTAAGCTTTTGTGGGGTTAAGATATTTTTATCACAAACAAAAGTTAAAATAAATAAATAAAAGATTCAAAAAGAAAAATGCTTTTTAACAATTATTTCCACCTGAATTGTAATGAAATATTAGTATTTATTTCACTTTCTCGATATCTGTCCTGTAATTAACAATAATAATTTTGTATATAGTTTTAATACTAAGTACAAAAATTAAACTATATTATTTCAATAAAATGTGGGCATTGATATAAAGTAAATTAAAATAATGATTCATTTTCAAATGCCAAAAAATATTGCAAACATTGCAAAAAGAGTATAGAACGTTGTAGTAGATACAGGGATAGATTTTGAATTAATACTTTATTCTAAATACAAAATTAAGTTATATTATATCAGTATAATGTGGGGAATGATGTAAAGTAAACTAAAATAAGGATCTGTTTTCAAATATCAAAAACTTTATTGCAAACGTTGCAAAAGAGTGTAGAACGTTGTAGTAGATGCAGGGTTGGATTTCGTATTAGTATTTCATACTAAATACAAGTTTACTTTTATTATTTCAGTGCAATGCAGGGAATGATGTAAGGTAAATTAAAATAATGATTCGTTTCCAAATTCCGAAAACTTTATTGCAAACGTTGCAAAGTTATTTTATTTTTTGTAAAAAAATATGGGGACTGACGGCCAAGCGACTAGCTCTCTGGCGCTTGGTGCCATAGGTTTCAGGTTCAAGCCCTCGAGGTACAATGAATGTTTGTAGTGGTTTTGAATCCACTTTAAACCGTAGATTCTGGTTTAATATGACTGCAGAGCGTTAGGTGTACGGCTGCCAATGTTACCCTTAAAAAGAAATGTTTCTGAATCTGCCAGAAAGCAGACGGCCTTGGCCCACCATGGGGCTATTGCGCCATTGAAAAAGAAGGAAAACTATATTTCTATAATTTGAAAATGTACACTGCACCATATTCAAATTATGTATCGACAAATATTGGCAGACAAATTTTAATAGACACTAGTTGTTAGCAAATGAGAAATAAATTATAATAATTCTAACAGTTATTACGCTATTTGAATTGATGGAAAATTTATCATCCTATATATGGTGACTAAAAGTCTATTATGTTTATTAATACGTATTTATTGAATTTTACTACTCTAGAATGCGTATTATTGACAGCCGTTACAAAAAGTTCTAATAAATGATTAAATTATAACGTGCCATGCAAAATAAATTAACACTTCTGAAAGAATTTTCCAAAATATGCCTTTGTTAGAAGTATAATTCGTTTTATTGGTAAAAATTGACTGCATATAAATTCAAATATTCAAATCCGATTCATTATTTACACCGAGGGAATACATTAAGTTGGCAATTAATGATATGTTTTCCCATTATCATCAGGGATATAAAATACCTCGGAGTCAAGAAGTAATCAATTAATTTGAGAAAAATTTAGCTTAATATTTCTAATCCCATTGTCACTTTTCTTCACACATAGGGGACCGTTCCCTTATCAAAATGCGAATCACCAATGCTGGACTACCTTTATTTGTCCAAACCTAAAGTTTTTAATACAGTAGACTCTCTGTAAGTCGAACTTCAAGGAGACGCCAAATAATTCGAGTTATAGAGTTCTCGACTTATGGAGGATTTCGACTTACGCGGATTTTTTGTAAGGAAATATTCGACTTATAGAGGTCTAGATTCCTTTTTTAACTTATTTTGAGTCAGAGAGGTAAAATAAATAAAAATTCAAGTTACAGAGGTAATAAACATGTTTATTTGCAACTTAAAAGTTAAATTATGTGCTACATTAAAAAATCGAAATAATTCCGAAACAACCTTAAAATGAAAAATATTATTTATTAAAAAGTCAGTTATTATTATTTATTTATTTATTTATTTTTGCTTTAGACAATTCGATCGTTCTCTATCTATAGCATTATCTAAGCTATGAAGAGCAGAAAATTATTTTTCTTCCGAGTTGCTATTTCATAGAATTGGTTATTCTACTTACTATATACCCATACATTGTTTTCTAAGAAACAATGACGTGCATTGTCGGCCAATTCTTAAAGTCGGTAACTTATTTTTATTCGAGCTATAGAGGTAATTAATTTCAAATGCTCGAGTTGCAAAGATTGTAAAATCTGCTAATGTTCGAGATACAGAGGCCCAATTTTTTTTTTTTCGAGTTACGAAGAGAAATTATATACCAAAATGACTTGTGGGGATTGACTAATTATTTCGACTTATAGAAGGTTGAAATTTCGAGTCATGGAGGTTTGGGGGCTTGAAGGGAAGGGAACAAAAAAATTTGGTGTGTGTGTGTGAAAAAATGTGGAGATTTTCGACTTAAAGAGGTTCTACTGTATAAAAATATAAAGTTTTTAATATAAAAATATAAATATCATTCGTTTTATTGGAAAAAATGGCTGCATATAAATTCAAATATTCAAATCCGATTCATTATTTACACCCGGCTAATACATTAAGTTGGCAATTAATGACATGTTTTCCCATTATCATCAGGGACATAAAATATCTCGGAGTCAAGAAGTAATCAATTAATTTGAGAAAAATTTAGCTTAATATTTCTAATCCCATTGTCACTTTTTTTTTTTTTTACAGGGGGCGATCCCTTATCAAAATACGAACCACCAACAAATTGACCGCAGAACTATCTTTATTTGTCCAAACCTAAAGCTTTTAATTTTAAATCACAGCAGATTCCCCGATTGGAAGTCACTATAATGGTGACAGGTTATAGAAGGGCGGTCGTGTCCCGAGGCTCAGGTGTGGTTATTGAACAACACACAACTAATGGGCCGCGAGGGACATCATGAAAAAGATGTGGAGGGGAGGGGAGGCTCAACAATACTACCCAGATCACATTATTATTATTATTATTCATTTAGCAGTCAAAGCTGCAGTGGCTGCAACATTTGGCGTTACACAACTTTGTAAACTGCCACAGACAAGTCTATGGTGTCCCCCTCCTTTTCTGTAAGCAAGCAAGAAGAAAAAAAATTCTGAATCATAATGTCTGCTGTTTATGTAACCCAACCGTGGTCTTTGTCGTCGTGATAAACGATATTGCAAAGACATGTTGGTATTAGAAGCCTCATTTGCTGGTAATAAATGAAGGTGGTAATTAAAAAAATTTAATGACGTCATTTTGATTTGGACATTATTGATTCTTTTCTTTGCGCAACATTTAAGCAAAGAAAAATAAATGAAGAGTTGTATGCTTGATTACACTGCACTGCGATCTATTTTCACTTTTATTTATTGATTGATTGGATAGATATGAAAGTCTTTCAGAAGATACTGAGCAAGTTGCTTTTGATGTAAGAAGAAATTTTTAAATATCGCTCTGTGATCAATTTCGATTAATCATATTTGTCGCGATAAACGATAATGCAAAGACATGTTGGTATTAGAAGCCTCATTTGCTGACAATAAATGAAGGAGGTAATTAAAAAAATTTAATGACGTCAGTTTGATTAGTATGTTATTGATTCTTTTTTTTCTGCAACATTTAAGCAGAGAAACAATTAAGCAAAGAACATTAAGCAAAGTTGCCAATCTATTAAGCAATAAAAACTTTTATTAATTTTTTATTCACTTCTTTCAATTCATCTATTAAAAGTAATCAAATGAAAGCACAAATTATAATTAAAAAATAAAGTAAATCTTATATTAAATGCAATCTTAAAAATATATTTATAGTTATTATTCAGTAATTTGTTTAAATATTTTCGATACAAACTGATAAAGGAGTCTACAAAAGACTTATTAATTATAATTGGTTTAGTTGTATCATCTTCGTTTAAATAATTGCCATTTGACCCACAAAATATGTTTTATTTTATTTATAAATTTACATATATTCGATATAATGCTGCTGAAATTTTGTTAATATCAATTCAATTACATGTAAAAATTGCTGAATCATAAAGTCGGTGGTTTATGTAACCCAAAACATATTCCACTTCATTATATTTTGATTCATAACATATTAACATAACATATATTATTGATTCTTTCATTGTGCAACATTTGAGCAAAGAAAAATAAATGAAGAGTTGTATGATTGAATGCACTACGAGTTATTGTTACTTTTATTTATTTATTGGCTGAATAGATATGAAAGTCTTTCAGAAGATACTGAGCAAATTGATTTTGATATAAGAAGAAAATTTTAAATATCTCTCTGTGATCAATTTCGATTAACCATAATCTTTGTCGTGATAAACGTTAATGTAAATACATGTTGGTATTAGAAGCCTCGTTTTGCTAATTATAAATGAAAGTAGTAATTGAAAAAAAGTTATTGACGTCATTTTGATTAGAATATTATTGATTCTTTCTTTGTGCAACATTTAAGCAAAGCCAACGGCCATACCATGCTGAATATACCGGTTCTCGTTAGATCACCGAATCCATTGGGCCCGGTCAGTACTTGGGTGGATGACCACCTGGGAACACCGCGTGCTGTTGGCATTCACAAATTTGGGACCTGAATGGTCGAGTGTCTAGCGCTCTGGCGCTCGGTGCCACAGGTTTCGGGTTCGATTCCCGACGGTGCCATGGATGTTTGTAGTGGTTCGGAATCCACTTTAAGCCGTAGGTCCCGGTTTCCTATGACTGTAGGAGCGTCACTGAGCCAAAGTCAGACTTCTTCCTACGGGTGCTCCATCACAACAGAAGCTGCTTCCTTCCCCTTCAATCATGAGTGCGTATGGGCTCGTGGGCTTGACCAGCCAAGTGGGATAAGAAACAACAAAACAACAACACATTTAAGCAAAGAAAAATAAATGAAGATTTGTATACTTGAATGCGCTTATACGAGTTATATTTACTTTTATTTATTTATTGACTGGATAGATATGAAAGTCTTTCAGAAGATACTGAGCAAGTTGAGTTTGACGTAAGAAGAAATTTTTAAATATCGCTCTGCGATCAATTTCGATTTTTTGATGTTTATCAGAAGTAATGAAAAAAAAAAAATTGTTTTTCTAAAAGGAAATGAGAAATGGAGTGACGATGAAACACAAAATAACAAAACGGAAAAGAATTTTTTTCAAAACAAATATTTATAAAAGAGTTTTAAACCTGTTTTTTGTTATGCAGAAACGACAGAAAATAATTTAAATTAATTTTCGAGCTTTATAATAGAATTTATTGTTATTCGTATTCTTTTATCATTTTTACGATTTCTTCGCTCGAAAAAATAATTAATTTTCACCATTTTGACTCTTTTATATTTGTAAAAGCTATTTCAATTCTTATTGTATAAGAATCCCGCGTTAATTGAACTGTAGATTTTCATAAACTTCGTCATATCCTGTATATATTTGGTTGAACTTTTTATTCATTTTATCCACAATTTCTTTTTGTACCAGGTAAGAAAAAGATGTCCGTTCTTTTGTAAAACCAAACTAAATCGAAATTGATTTACAAATGTGGAAAAATTTGAATCCCAAAAGCTATAATTACAATATTTTTATTGCTTTTTATAATACATTTTCTGAGAATCAATTATATTTGACACATGAAGTTATTAAATTAAATTTTATAATATTATTTTATAAAAGCATAATAATCTTATTCCAAAAATGATGAATTGATTTATGATATAAAAAATTTGGATTTCAAATTTTTTACCTGAGTTTTAAATTCTACAATTACTGATTTTCTTATACTACCATGCCCAAAAAGTAAGACCAATTATTATTTTTTTCAAATATTCTTTATTTATTCTTCTACATTTATTTCATCGCCTTCAAAGTAATCCCCTCCGTACACAATGCACTTATGCCAATTTTTTTTGCCAATCCTCAATGCATGCTAAAACGTCATCGGTAGGGATGGCCTTCAAAGCTTTTTACTTTTTGGACACAGTAGTATTTCAAAATTTATATGGATGGAAAAATTTCTTTAAATACCAAGCATTTTTTTTTTCTACTTACTTTTTAATGGTAAGGAACTTGTTTCATTTTATGTTCTCTGCTTAAATCCATATTTCCTAGAAAGAAAAGAATCAGCAAATATAGCAATTTTTCATTAGAAGTACTGTTAAAAAAGTTAAAACATCCAAAAATATTTTGTATATCATCTCCAATGTCATATTTTGTAGATCTTTTTATCTTTTTCCATTGCGTAATTTTAATAATAAGCATTTAGTATATCTCGAATTTACGGAATTATAGTCTATTTAAAAAATTTTTGCTCAATCTTTAAAGTTTTTATCAATGAAAATTAACTTTTATTTTCATTGATAAAAATTTTAAAGATTAAGCAAGACTGCAAATATAACACAAATAGATCAACAAAGAATCTATACATTTAGTAATAAAATTTCAAGGTCATCTACCTAATACTTTTAGAAATCATCTTTTCAAGGTCATCTACCTAATACTTTTAGAAAGTATTCGATAGATGACCTTGAAATTTTATTATTAAATCTATTATTTTATTATCTATTATTATTATTTTATATTATAATCCCGAATCATTAATATTAAAATCTCAAAATTTGTATAAAAAAATAATATTTGAGAGGAAAATTTATTATATCAATGATAAAAAAAACCAAAATTTTATTGTAATTTTAACTCTTCTTTTAAAAATGCTGAAAATATGTTTACTATTTAGCTTATATATTTGCTATTTTACACTTCCTGTTATTATGGTAGTGCTATAATGCTATGTAATTTTATTACTTTTATATCAGAGAACTGGTATAAAATGATTTTAATATACATTATTATTTATTTTCTATTATGGAAATTATTATTTAATTTTCTCAGAATGCGTTTTTAAAAATGATGTGCTAATATAAAATTATTTTTAAACAACTGAATAAATTATTTGTGAAATATTTTAAATAGCATTTAGTGCATTTGAATTATATTAAATTAACAATTATTATTTATTATATTAAAAATTACAATAAAATTTATTCAAAATAAATTTAAAAATATGATTATATTTTTTTTTAATTATTTGGAAAAAGACATATGCGCTATTTAATATTTTATAAATTGCAATTAGATACAAAAATAATTTTGAAATTTAAAATATTCTTGCACAACACGGCAGTAAATCGTCTTTGTAAAATCTCAAAAAAATAGATTAAAGATTATACTGTAAAACTTTTCAGATTATCGAAATTTTATTGGCTTAAACCCCAATAAAATTTTGGTACGGATGGCGTTGGTTTTTCTTGAAAGAAACTTTAAATGTAGTTACACGACCGTAAAAACAAAAATCCATAATAACGGATCCATATATTCAAAAATTAACTGTCGAAATTATAAGAAAAAATTAACTATGATTTTAAAATAATACTCTTTCGAGTATGTGACAGATATTGCCTGTTTTATTTATGAGTTCACAGAATAAGTAAATTATATTCTACGAAACCATGATGCGCGCGCATCTTGGAACATCTAATATAACAAGTTGTAATATGAATATAAAAATATCTTTAGTGGTACTAAATCTAATATGGGGATATATAATTTTACGTGCGGCCCGCGTTATGAGGCATTTCCAAAGTGGCCCGCAGGATCATTTGGGTTGCCTCCCCCCCTTGTATTAGAATTTACTCTTTATCAAAACAGAAAAAAAAAAAGGAGAAAATGAAATGTCAACAATATTAAATTAATTTGAAGTAATACTAATTAACAAGTTATTCGTCTAAGCCTAATTTCAAGAAGAAAATATTTAAACCAATCTCGAAGTGACCAAATGTGGATAAACCAAAATCAATTAATCAAGTTTATAAAATCTGAACACACCTATAATATTAATTTATTGTTTTTAAACTTGCACTAAAATTTAGTGATTATTTCAATTAGCAATTACCATATTAGCCATTATCATATTATCATACCAATTGAAGTCGAAGAAGGTAAAAGGTTGGATATCCTTGGTCCTATGGTTTGAAAATCGGCACTGAAAAAAATGGCTGCTTGAGAAATGGTTGCTATTTGAATTTACTCTGTATCAAGACAGAGGAATAAAAAAAATTGAAAATGAAATTTCAACAATATTAAATTGATATATTGCCAATTAACAAATATTATATTAACTTATGGTTTGAAAATCGGCACTGAAAAAATGGCTGCTTGAGAAATGGTTGCTATTAGAATTTACTCTTTATCAAGACAGAAAATGAAATTTCAACAGTATTAAATTGAAATTATACCAATTAACAAATTATTCGTCTAAACCTAGTGTCAAGAAGAAAAAATATTTAAACCAATTCCAGAAGTGAGCAAATGTGGACAAACTAAAATCAGCTAATCAAGCATATAAAATCTGAGTAATATAACTTTAATATATACTTATTTGAATATAACTTTAATTAATTGCTATTTAAAAATTTAGTAGTTATTTCGATTAGCCATTATTATATTAGTATAATCTTGGCCACCAATGGTTATTTTTTTCATCAACTGAAGTCGAAGAAGATTGGACACCTTCGGTCCTACGGTTTGAAAATCGGCACTGAGAAAATGGCTGCTTGAGAAATGGTTGCTATTTGAATTTACTCTGTATCAAGACAGAAGAATAAAAATTGAAAATGAAATTGCAACAATATTAAATTGATATATTGCCAATTAACAAATATTATATTAACCTATGGTTTGAAAATCGGCACTGAAAAATGGCTGCTTAAGAAATGGTGCCTGCTGTAATTTACTCTGTATCAAGACAGAAGAATAAAAAAGGAGAAAATAAAATTGCAACAACATTAAATTAAATTAAATTAAATTGAAATAATGCCAATTAACAAGTTATTCGTCCAAATGTGGATAATTCATACCAAATGTGGATAAACCAAAATCCGTTAATCAAGCTTATAAAATCTAAAGCTCACCTACAACTTTTTAATTTATTGCTGTAAAACTGCACTAAAATTTAGTAGCTATTTAGATTAACCATTATGAAATTAGTATAAATATTTTTTCACTAACTGAAGTCGAAAAGGTAAAAGATTGGTCACCCTCTGTGCTATGGTTTGAAAATCGGCACAGAAAAATGGCTGCTTAAGACATGGTTACTATTAGAATTTACTCTTGATCAAGACAGAGAAAAAAAGCGAAAATGAAATTTCAACAGTTTTGAATTAAAATAATACCAATTAGCAAACTATTCGTCTTAGCCTAATGTCAAGAAGAAAAATACTGGACCCTGAGTAAGCAAATGTGTATAAACTAAAATCCGTTAATCAAGCTTATAACTTTAAGCCTATAACTTTAATTGATTGTTGTTTAAACTTTTGCATTAAAATTTAGTAACTATTTCGATTAACCGTTATCATATTAGTATTAATTTTTTTTTCACCACCTGAAGTCGAAGAAGGTAAAAGGTTGGACATTCTGGATCCTATGGTTTGAAAATCAGCACTGAAAAAATGGTTGTTACTAGAAATGGTTGCTACTACTTTTTATCAAAACAGAAAAAAAAAAAGAGAGAATGAAATTTCA